GCACTCTCCTCTTAACACACCCATTCCTGCCTCCTCTTGATTTATTACATTAATTATGCACCACACCAAAGAAATCCCCAGGGTTATGCCACCATGCTCTCATCCTTGATTACCTGCTGCCAAAACAGTCCAAACTCCCATGTCATTTTCCTTCATCTGTTTGTTTTCCCTCGTGTTGTTTAATGTATCCTCACATTTGCTTCAAACTCCAGTCGCCTCTCCTCTCCTTAAACCTTTCTGTGATTTTCTCCAGGTCTTACAGCTGCCCTCATTCTCCCCTAAATACTCTTCTCTGAGATACGGTTGCCTCCTGAGGACACCACTTCACTGGGAGTTCTCTCAAGAGTAGCTGTTTTCCTTTCCCACTACCTGGATACATCATTGACCTGATTTGCTTTGCTGCTTCTTCCAGACCTTTGAATCAAATCTCCTTCTCACTCACTGAATAGTCCCTGCCATTCTGTGCACACCACCTCACCTCCTGCTATGATGACAGCACAAGCCAACACCTCTGCTCATGTGCCAGAGCCTGTCCCTTGAGCCTTTTCAAGCACATTGCTCTATTCCAAGTAAACACCCCTTTTCCTTTTGCATTAATGGCTTATCCCTCAAGAAGTCATACAGACAGCAACTATACATAGGTCCCTAAATAGTCTCATTCAGCCCTGGACCTGAACCACAAATGGTGCTTTAAAAAACACACTTTTCATCAACTAAACTCAAAGATCTACAGTCAGTTTAGTAGATTTTGGCCGCCTGAGGAACAGATAGTTTTTCAAGCCACTTCTCTACAAGAGGCCCTTAAACAGGGCCATTCTGACTTTCTACTCATTCCCTGTTCGTGCAACTCCCCCTCCCCGCTTATACTCCATCCACCAACCTGGTCTCACTTGAGTCACTCTTTTTTGATCAATAGTACACAGAAACTGCTCTCATCCAGGTCAACAGTGACTCAAAAATATCAACTTCAACTGTCAATCTGCAGTCCCCATCTCACTCAGCCTCTCTGCTCCATTGTGCCAGCAGACCTCACATTCATTTTTGAGATTCTTTCTTTCCTTGGCTTTGAGGAAAGCACACCCTCCTGGTTTACCTCTGCATCACTGGACAGTCCTTGGAACTCCCTCCTGTTTTCTGGTGTCGGTGGTATCTCCATCTCTGGTCTTCTCTCCTTCCTTATCTACACTCAGTCTCTTGGTGACCTCATAGAGACGTGGCTTTTAACACCATTCATAAACTGATTACTCTCAGATTTATGTTTCAGCCCAACTTCTTTTGTAACTCAAGCCTCGTTGATACCCCTGCTCTTCCACTTGGATATCTAAACATCTCAGAAGCCTGAATAGACATCTCCAAGTGAAATTCCAAAAACAGGATTCTCTTCCAAAATATGCTCCTAACCCATTGTTCACCACCTCAGTCAACTACGTCATCATTTACCTCAAGGTTTAGGTAAAGAAGAAAAAAAAATCTGGAGTCATCCTTGATCTTTTTCCTTTCCTATCACAGCATCAATACGTCAGCAAATCTTGCCGGCTCTGCCATCACAATATCTTGAATCCAAACTTTCCTCACACCTCCACTTCCTATTCCAAGTCTTTCTGGGCTCATGGTATATTCTACAATGGATTTTTTTGTTTCCATTCTTATATTTCTTTAGAATATCTCTCTCTACTCAGGATCCAAGTGGACCTTTTTTTAAAAAAATTAGATTATATCATTTCCTTGCTCAAATCTAACCAACTTTCCATATGTAGTATCAAATCCCAAGATCCTGCCATACTCCAATCCCTGTCTACCTCTCCCAATTTCACTCAGAGTCGCACTTTCTCCTATCCATGATGCTGCATCCTAAGACTCTTTGCCATTCCTTGTATGTACAAGCAAGTTTTTAAAGCAGGGCCTTTGCACCCGCTTGCCTCTCAGTGTGAAGTGCTCTTCCCCAGATACTGATGTGGCTCATGCCCTTACTTTATTCAGGTTCTGAGCAAATATCACCTCTTCTGAGACTACCTTGTCTAAAGTAGCATCCCTTTCCACACCTTATTTTTTTAACCTGTTTTGTGCCCTTCATATTTACCACCATCTTATTCCCCTCCCAAGAATGTAGACCACAAGAAGGCAGGAGGTTTGCTGAATCCATCACAACTCTGTGTGCCTGGATAAGCTCTTGGAAGATTTGTAGCGCTCAATAAATATTTGGGGCATGAGTCACTGAGTGAATATTTAGAGCTCAATGTTCAATTTCTGGTTCAGATGTTCCATAATGGTCTGAGTAGAATCTTTTCTAGAAAGTAATAAATGACCAAATTGTCTTATTTTAGAGCTCCAACAGTCATGCCTAGAATGTCAGAGACTTGGCTTCATGTAAGAATGTCACTCCAAAGCCAGGCTTGGTGGCTCAGCCTGTAATCCCGCGCCTTTGGGAGGCTGAGGTGAGTGGATTGCTTGAGCCCGAAGGTTCGAGACCCGCCTGGGCAGGCGAGACCTCATCTCTACAATAAAAAATTAAAAAAAAAAAATTAGCCGGG